TGTATTTTAAAAAGGTTTTTCGATTCCAAAAGTATGCAATTGTATAAAATGCAAAATCGGGGAAAATGTGCCAAGCAGAAAATAAATTGCCAAATGACCCACCAGTGGCAACTGTGGAAGTGATCAGCTGTTTCGAAGGCTGCAAGTTTGTGCAAATTTTGCGTTCTCATATTTCTGTGGATATTTTGTCTCTTTGAGAGCGAATGCTGCTAAATTCTCAGAACTTCTTCTGCTGGATAATACAAGTATATCGTCGCTGCGCCAACAAAAAAAAGTGTTGTGATTTTTGTCAATTTTTTTTTATTGCATATTTTATCAACACTATCTATTTTCCCCACATTACTGCCATTTGCCATTCTCTTATATATCTTTTGGTTTAGAACTGACCAAAAACAGCTATGTGCCCGCAGTACTAGAAATACTCTGAAAAAATGGGTATACGCTTACATGCTTATAACTGTTTTTGATTGCAGGCGAATCTGATGAGTGTGCTTTGATTTCGATGTAAAAAATAATTATAAACCAACTAAATACATACATACATATGTATGTACATACCACTTACACTAAATACATTTGATCGCTTGCAATTGGAATTCAACGATTAACAAAGGTAAAAAGTATGGAGGTAGACAGCGTCCACTCTACATTAGAAAATGTATTCAATCCACCGATATATTCACCGATGGACTACATAAGTCACATCCTTATATTGCTAGTTATTTAGAGTATTCAAAATTTTAAATTATGAGTGTTCCTGGTAACTTTACAAATATAAGGCCAGGTAAAAAACCTGGGGAAGCACCCGTAAGCAGTATCAGAGGATTGCTTTATGCCAGTGGTGCACGCGGTAGTCTCCGGGAGCTACTCGGCTTTCACATACAAGTCGTGTGTGCGCAGCTAGCGAACTGTTACGACGCTAACAGCAAATTAGTTTGCGTTTGCTAGTGTACGCATACTAAGACAAAAATTTTGCGTTGGCATTGGTAGCTCTGTCGACGCTGTGCACCACTGCTATATAAATGGTGAAGTCAGATTCAAGTTGCGTCATACCGACTACTGGACATCATTGCCACAAAAACGAGCTCTGTTATTACAGCAATACGAA